CATCTTGATCAGGTATCCTTCTTTTCAGTTTGTTGGTACTTGTTGTTCATCCCAAATCTTGCTGAAGAGAATATGAAGTATCTTTGCAGTTACTGCTACGTCTGCTTTCAGTGCCTCTGCTAGAATGTTATCTGGCTCTTCTGCTTTGCCACTCTTGATTTGTCTGATGGCCTGAGTGAAAATTATACTCTAATATACACCAATCGTTTAGTGAATATACCAATAAATATGGAAACATGTCGAGTAAAACATTCACTGAACACTAAAAACTTTAACCAGTTATTAGATTGAATAATTTTAAATTGCTATATTACTAATCATAATGTTAGATAATTGGAAACGAAGCGGGAAAATGTATCCCTCTTTAACTTGGCGGCCTGCTTGAATATCTGGGCTACCTGTTCCTCCGATCTAGATATTTCATCAAGTTATCTGTTTTGTTGTTTGTTTTAGCACATCATTATGTCTATTGTGCGCACAATTTATTCAGGCGCGTTTATGAAAAGTTTACAACCTTTCGCTATACGTGATACAAAAAGGTACAATCAGCGAGATCATAGTGGCTGGCAATATGCATTGAAACGAATGAACATTAATCAAATGTGGATTACCGAACTCCTAACATCTAACTGGTCATCATTCAAAATTTATCGTCACAATAGATCAAGGTATAAGAAAAGGAAACTTGTTGAAATACTTTATGCTGAGAATTCTACGTTGTACCAAAAATATAATGTTGAATAAAGCTTCTTATAATAATAAGAATAATTAGAACAAGAATTATATATATATATATATATATATATATATATATATGTATATATATATATATATATATATATATATATATATATATGTATATATATATATATATATATATCAGATTTGTAGGTAATCATTAAACTCCCCCTGTAGCTCTCCTACGGTAACTGCTAGTCCAAAGTCCGGGTAAAGGAGGAGGGTTAAGGACGGGGTCAGCAACTCCATACCACAGAAAACTATCACGCTAACAAGAATATGGGAGGCCAATGCTCCTACACGTGGAGTAACAGGCGCAAGTAAGTGAGTAAGTAAGTAAGTAAGGTATTCACCAAAACAGCTTATATATCATATCACCTCAGAAACACTTTATGTTGCGATCAATTTTTTCACTGTATGATTATGTTGTATGGGTGAGTGTTCACACTGTATATACATATATATTTGATATGTTTAGTCTGAAATATTTTGATGGTATCTAATGATTGTCCATGAATAGTCTGAATTTATTTGATTTTAGAAACTATATTACGTGAAAATAAAAAAAAGGAAGGTATCTCTCTAAAGGTGTATCCAGTTACTATAAATGAATTGAAGAGGTTGAAAAAAACAACAAAAATAATAACTAACCACTAACTACTCACAACGATAGCCTATATAAATCATATTGTACTCAATCACATATAAATTGCATGAATTCATTGAGTATGATAGTTTTCTAATGAATTCTATTGAATAAATTGACTAGAATAGATTAGACTATGCATGTTTTGTTAGTAGAGAGTATTGTTTTTTAGATAGATGAGATATATCATAGATTGATCTAAAACTAGACGATTGTTTAGAACTAGAAAACACTAGATAACTGATTCTTTCTAGTATTGGAATATACACAACAGTGCATATTTATCATTCTATTAGGGAATGAATTTATTCATTTGTTTTAACACATAGATATTGGTACAAGGAGGCACCAAATACATATGCACCACTCAAATCTCATTTGATAATTGTGAGGGCTGTGATACTGCCCAGGTGCCCGAACCGACGCAGGTGGTTTTCTTAGGGGGCCACACCGCTCTCAATTTCGTAAACAACACCCCCGCCACGAGAGGGCAGTGAGTGGAACTCCCCTAGCATGGGCTACATACGCGTGGCCATGTGAGAGCAGTTGGAGAGGGAGAGCGGACTCTCCCCACTCTCGGCCGTACCAGGGCATTTGGGGGCTGAGAATGAATTTAGAACTTTTATTTCTTGCTATGATCGTTTAATCTTTTGATCACTGAGCAGGAATCCCAATAATTAACACTTTTAATTTCAATTACTTATCGATACTATGCTTGTAATTGAATAGTTTTGAGAGAGATAATTCTCACAGTTTGTCGATTTGCGTAGGACATACATTATGCAAAACATTAAACTGCATCACGAGGCAAGACATAACTTGGAATCTTAAAGGGAAGCAGAAATGAGGAATATCAACAAACACATTACATCGGGAAATAGAAGCAGATATAAAAAGGATGAATAACAACTGGGAAGAACTGGAAAGGATTGCCCAGGACAAGGTTAGATGGAGAGTGCTGGTGAGCGGCCTATGCTCCCCCACGAGGAGTAACAGGCGTAAGTAAGTATTTCTCACAGTTCTAATGAAAATCCGTAACCAGTAGAATGCAACCATGTCTATATTATGTCGAAAACTAAGTTTTCACAGACTGAAATCATGAGTCAGTTGAAGCTAGACCACCATTGAAAACCCGGAAGCACTGGACGGCCGTTACGTCCTAGTATGGGACTCCTCAGCAGTGAGCATCCACGATCCCGCACCACGCAGGGCTCGAACCCAGGACCTACTGGCTTCGCGCTTGAGCACTTAACCATTAGACCACTGAGCCGGCATCCAATCCATCATGATTTCAATCTGTGAAAATTTCTAAAAATCTCCACAAATCCCTTCTGAAAACTAAATTGTAACTTTTTTTTAAAACTCGTCCTTATATGTTTATATACTACTAGTTAGTAGTCAGTAGATTGTATATCAATGTCTTTTAATGGATTTTCATTCTCTGAGCTGAATGGTTTAAATGTGAAACTTTCAATGTTTGTCTGAACAACATTGTCAGAATCGACTCTGGATGGAAAGAAACAAAAATAAAAATTCCCTCTGTTTTCTAGTATATAAAGTGATAATAAGATTAAAGGAGACAAGTAGTTCACAGACAACTTCATTATGCTATGAAACTGTCATGTATCATACATGCTGGCATGTAAGTTTTAAAATGATTGTGAAACTTTCAGCACAGCGAGATATTTTGTTGGTAATACTGAGTGATTTAATCGTGAAACGTTTGTTTTCATTCTGGATAATATCATATAAGGGCTTACTGAAAGTAGAAGTGTCACCAATATTCCCCAAGTATTAGATCAGTTGATTCGGATGAACTTATTTCTAAATGGTTGTTTTCATGAGTACTTTAATTCCTTCTGGAGTGTTTTTTTCCAGTTGGCTTCTGATCGTATTGTTGGTTAACGTTTACCGTGTGAATTGATAAATCGAATCTATATTGATATATCTGTTGACTGTAGAATGATATAAATGCCACTCTTTCAGAAATCCTTTATCACGATTATAATTTCAATCAGTGATAATGCACCACAACCTCGCATGAAGCCACTATGGGGCTACTGCCGGTCCCAAGCCCGAATAATGCAGGAGAGTTGCGCATAGAGTTAGCGACCTCATTCCGTAGAAAACTAACCCGGTAAAATAACGCTAACCAGAAACAATAATTCAAACCACCTAAACTCTTTCCTGAGAGTTATAAGGTCTTCATTTAGAAGAGTTATGACGCTTCATGGTGAAAGCCGAGTTCCTTCGGAAGTAACGAAACAGATGCCCCTTCTGACAACCATAGCAACTATTTAGGCCCAGGACAGAGTGGGTTTGAGAATGCTGGTCGGCGGCCCATGCTCCACTATGAGTAACAGGCATAAGTAAGTAAGTAAGTAAATGATACATTTTCACAGCTGATTTATGTTTTTGTGTACACAGGTGTCGGAGTAGTTCATTTCTGTAAGTTTCTGAATATATTACAGAATGTACTAAACATTTATCGACCCTTTACTTCATTTTTTAAGACACACATTTGAAAGATATAATAAAATTAGGTGATTCACTTACGGTAATCTATTTTCAGACAATTAAGTCAATATAAATATGCCTAAAATCAATGATATCACTCAAGTAGCTATGTGGTCATCATTTATATATAAATATATACATATCTTATTAAAATTGGAAGGACTAATATCCCAATTCTAGTTTTCAATGTGACATTCATTTCCTATCAACAATTACCTACAAACTACTACCGTCCAATACGTCCAACTTTTCCATGGTGGTTTAACTTCAATTGACATATGATCTGAACTAACAATACCAACAAAGAAACCCCTTCTGATATTCAACTACTATTTCCCAGCATAAAAAAACTAGAATTAGATATATCAAACAGAAAATTCGAATACTTCTCGTTTATCTGTTTACTTATCAATCATAGGACTACAAATATTATTATTATTATTGTGTCAAACTGTGCTTCATTATCAGTTAAAGTTATACTGATTATTATTATTATCAAAAGGGGGTGTTTTGGAGATTTTAGTAATTTCAATAGTTGAAATCATCAGTCAATTGAAACTAGACTACCATGGAAAACTTGGAAGCACTGAACGGCAGTGAACATCAGCAAGTCTGAGATGAAGGTACGTCCAAATAGGATGAAACGCCCATCAAGCTAAATTCCACTGCTAACCACTATTCATTTTTGTTTATAATGCTTGTGAATTAAGGCAATATTGAGGTCATATTGCACAGTATGCACATATGTCAATAAGAGACTGTTCAATTCCAGTCCTAAACATCAATAGGAAGATACATGTGAACAATACCAAATGAATTTAGTCTTTTCGAACCCCTAAACTAGTACAGAACTATTCTACAATTGACACCATTATTACCTAGTTTTTTTTGTCATTTCACTCTTTTACCACAAAAATATCCCTCCCTCCCCGCTCCACCCGAAAAACAAATATCAATCACTAACACAAGTGTTACCATTTTGTCAGTTAAAAAAAAAGAAGAAAAAAGACCAATTATTTATTGGACAGGCATGAATAAGGTATCCAAAGCAAGAAATACACATATATATATATATATTTTTAAAAAGAATACTGTAGCTAATGTGAACTTGTTTTATTGTTAAACTAAAAACAAAAAAGGGTAGGGGATGGGTAAAGCGAAAAAACATAAATAAATAAACAATAAACTTATTTCATTAGTAGCATTATTCTTGTAACCATCTAAAGTGTTCCCATGCAATTTGTCATTATTATTGTTATTATTACTGTGATTGGAAAAGACAAATACATATGCATATCAACTGATGTTAATGATATAATTAGTAACCATGGGAAGATTTTTTTCTTTTATCATTATTCTTGTTGAACATAGAAATTCTATGTGTAAACATCAATTTTTTTCAGAGTGCAGTATTCTTTCTCATGAAAACAAAACAAGTAAACTAATTGTGGTGTTTTTTAACTGAAGAAAAGTGTGCATATATACTTACTTCGAATATATCAATGAAGGGTGGGATAATGTTCAAAATAGTGTTCTGTAAAAAAAAAAGGAAAAACAAGACTATCACATTTGTTAAATGGGTATCGAACAAACAGATCAGTAAGGGTAAGGTAGGGTTTTTTTTTCTCAGGCTAAATTGAAGATGAAATAGAACGAATAGAAGATAGTGATAGCCTTTTTATTCGATCGGCTTCCACAAGTAAAGAACTGTATACATTAAAGCTGAAAAGTATTCATAGGGAAAAATGTTTCTGTAATAAAAAATAAGGATTGAATATGGTGAAAAGCACTTCAAACAAGGGTTGATGGAGTAGAGAGACTATATCAACACACAAAAAAAAGAACAACTGTAAACAACCAAATGGTACACATACACAAATATAATAAGAATATCAATTTCAATCAGAATTAGAATCAAGGAGTAACAGGTCAATTACAGTGTAGCACAGTATCGACACTTCATTATATATTATAATCCCCGAGTTAATAAATGAGTACCAGACTTTCCAGGTGAATCAAGATCAAATCTTTGCTCTCCAGATGGTGTAATTGTTTGCGGTGGTGAAGATGATAATGATTTACGATCAAGGTGTATACCAATTGTTAATTCATAAAGAATTGCTCCTATCACTGCACCAATATATGGACCTAATATAGGTACCCAAAAGAAATAATTCCCTGAAGTAAATGCTGAACCACCCCAACCTATAGACAAATAAGAATGAACAGATTGGGTATTAAATCAACAGAATAAATAATTTGTTTGTTAGTATACACATATACACACAATTAAATTATGTGATAATCATCAACCTTAGATATGCAATTAGTTGACATAAGCCAATCCTAACTGGTGATCCATCTATTCATTGATGTGGAACTGATTGGTAGAATGAATAATTAGTTACTATCAATGCGCATCAAAAATGACTCATAAGTATACACTATCCTGATGGGACTATAATTTATAAACGAATTAATCAGATTTAGGATAACAGGTTTTGAATTTTGGCGCGAAAATCATTCATCTGTTTGACTAACTCTAACCCTTTCACATTTTAACTGATTTTAGTTCGTGATGAAAACGAGAAATCTAATAATTCCTAACTCTTACTATCAACTGTAAATCATCATTCTAATTCATCACACTGCCCGACCGTTGTTGCTACCTTCATGTGGTGGTCGGGCTTGCCTATCGTGATGGAGCAACCGAGCTATAATGGCTGGAACAACCGTTCCTCAAGGTCCTACCATGTCAGACAGGTCGGTAGAAGAGCGGTAAGACTAAAAGCAACAAACACAAGTTTTGAAGGTGAACTCGTACTGCTGACTGTACAGAGGTGTGACAGCAGTTAGGTGTATCCTTCAGACAACCAGCATGACAGCGATGCTGCCTTCCCACAAGGAGGGGTGGGGTTAGAAAAGGTCAACCCTAAAAATGCACACCTCGCCTTATCCCACGGATATCCGTCTCCGGCGGTAAGGTCTCAACAAGTGCAGAGCTAATACAAAAATTACCGATAAAAAGGTCGTCCCTTGCGCATCGCGGTCACGCTCTCAGGTCAATAAGACCACTTCTAATCCAATTTCTTTTTCAGGTACCTCCAGAAGAACCCTTCCACGGTGTGGGCAACCGGGAAGTGATAACCGCCCTCATACCTCTAACAGCACTCATAATCAACCTCCCTCAATTCATCACACTGGTTTCTAATCATCATTTAGTCCTAGTTAGTAGGTGGACATTGTGAAGATCACTTAATCGTCGTTCAATGGTCGTCCATAAATTATAATCTCACCAAAATACGGATTCACACAATTAGTGAAACAAGAGATAGTAGATTGACATAAGCACAACAATAGACAATTTGAAATAAAGAGAAACTAAGAGATCATTCAATTGGTAGCTACAGAAATAAAGAAAATAAGTATATACATTAAGAGTTCAATTGAAAGCATAGATAGATACACAAAATAAGACTACTGGATCATTATGCTATTTTGTTAAATATAATTAGTGAGACTATAAATTTATGGACGAGCTTTGAGCGACGCTAAACTGACCTTGAGAGTGTTCACCTAATAACTAGGACCAAATGAGGATTATAAACCTGCTGTGAGAAATTCGAATTATGATTTACAGTTGATAGTTAGGGGTTAGAAATTAAACTTCGAGTTTTCATCACGAACTGATATCAGCTATAATGCCAAAACTCTATTTATCCAAATGATTGATTGAATTTCGTGCCAAAATCCGACACTTATTATCTTATACATGGTTGGTTCGTCCATAAATTGTAGTCTCGCCTGTATCAGTATGATAACAACTACACCTATCTGTTGACATTATAACAACTGGACAATATTGAAGCTGTAGATTTAACATGTTTATAACAAGAGTTTATTCCAAGTTGAAATATGAGTATATTTGGTTCGTTTATATTGACAGAACATTAGAGATACAGCGTAGAGAAAGATTATTCAAACTACTTGACAAGTAACAGCTGAGTCATTCTTTGTATAAAGTGAACTGTGTGCCGATTTTCAATAACCAATTAGGATATACATGACATATACACACATACCCACATATAAGATAAACATACATAAAACTCACATGATATAAGGTCACAAATAACAAAGTACTTACGAAGGTCTTAAAGTACTTGATCAGATTACAATGACACATTTAATGGCTGAACTAAATTGGGCTACCTAGGCATGTGTGATAGGAACTGCTACAAGTATATTTTTAAAAGAAGAGATCTGACAAATTCAGTTGTTATCAGAAGGGGTTTTGTGGAGATTTTAGTAATTTCAATAGTTTAAATCATCAGTCAATTGAAGCTAGACCGTCATGGAAAACCTGGAAACACTGGATGGCCGTTTCGTCCTAGTATGGGGCTCCTCAGTGCTTCCAGGTTTTCCATGGTGGTCCAGCTTCAATTGACTCATGATTTCAACTACTGAAATTTAGTTGTGAATACCGTACAATAGTCCAGAATAAAAGAATCATGAGTATTAACGATGGTATTGTATACCTTCAGATTAGTAAATTAATTAACCATCCTGATTTTAATAAAATATTTAGTCTACACTAACATTAAGTTCCCTATTTAACCTTAGTGGAATAAAACTAGTGGTGAGATTATAATTTATGGACAACCTTTGATCAATGATAAAGTGATCTTCACAATGTCCGCCTACTAACTAGGACTAAATAATGATTAGAAACCAATGTAATGAATTAGAATGATGATTTACAGTTGATAATAAGAGTTAGGAATTATTATATTTCTTGGTTTCATCACAAACTAACATAAGTTAAAATGTCAAAAGGTTAGAGTTAGCCAAACAGATGAATGAATTTTGCGCCAAATTTCAAGACACGTTATCCTAAATCTGATTAATTCGCTCATGAATTATAGTCTCGCTAACATCTCTGTCAACTTTTCTAATTAGATGAATCAGTAGTGTTTCGGGATAGCTAAGTACAATGAAGTAATGTAGAACGGTATTCTCTGAAATCATATAAAGATTGAGGTAAACCTCAATCAATTAAAGATATTTCATCTCAGTATAGGGGTTGTGGAGTTTGTTAAGTTTTGATTGAGATCATGAACCGATTGTTGTTAGACCACCATTGAAAACCTGGAAGCACTGGACGGCCGTTTCGTCCTATTGTGGGATTCCTCAACAGTACGCATCCACGATCCCGCTCACCGGATTCCAACTCAGGGCCTTCAGTCTTGCGTGCGGACGCTTAACCTACTGGACCACTGAGCTGTCCGGCATCCAATGGTGTTAATGTCTAACCTCGACCAATTCACGAATTTGCGCAACCATCTTCCAATGTACTGAGGTAGACACCTGTTTCTACCCGACACACATTAGTTCCACTGGTCACGGCTTCTCACCAGAACTCCGAGAATTTTCTCACGAAGCTAGTCACTAGAGAGCACATGACACGCGATAGGACGAAACGGTCGTCCAGTGCTTCCAGGTTTTCAATGGTGGTCTAACATCAATCGGTTTATGATCTCAATCAATATTTCATCTCATTGAATTGTAGTTAAGATCCAAGTAATTTAGACATCTTTATGGTATTTTAGAAAAAAACTTCATTTAAAAGACTCTACTATTAATTGTAAATCTAAAAATATTACATTGAAATACTCAGTGTGAAGTGTAAACATTGTGATTATTTCAGTAAGTGTTGCACGTTAAAAATACTGAATTTCACGACGACATTTGTTATCAATACTTATGGTGGCTTCTATGTACAATGATAAGTGCCCAAAATCTGTGAATGGATTTAGAAAAAACAAATGGCGTATCAACTAATTGTTGGTCACCGGCTACTATGGGACTGCATCTACGGACGTTGCTCCACTTCCTTGTGGATTAGGTCTTTAGGTCAAAGTCTCGAGGAGTGGCCCACTAAGAAAACCACCTGCTTCGGTCTGGACACCCGAACAGTATCACAGACCACTCACAAATCAAGTGACTCGTGTGGCGTATATGTATATGTATTCGGTGCCCCTTTGTACTAATATATTTATGTGTTCAAATAAATGAATGAATAAATCAATAAATAAGTGTGAATATTAGTATTTTATCAAACAGTGATTAGCACGGAAATATTTCATTTATATCTCGTCTATCGTTGATAATTGCAGATCAACAAACAAAGTCCTTGATAATTATGACAACTTAACAATGCTTGAAGTTAAACATATACACCATTGAATTATACCAAATGGTCCCGAGGTTAGACGTTAACGTGAAAGATCAAACATCCTAAATCTAACCCCTAATGTCAGAGTTATGTATACACACGGCAACCGAAGAGTCTCATTCTAAGACAAAACAATCATCTAATGCCTTTTAGTTTCTTATGGATATGTAACTAAAGTTAGTTTGTGACATAAAACAATAAAAGCTATGAGTGTTTGCCAGGTTACCCAGACTGATAAAAAGAAAACTAGATCTTGAAGTTTGTACGATTAAACCCTTAAAATCTCAAATTTTTCTTATTTATTAATCCCATAAAATATATTTGGTTTTATGGTAAATTCCAGAAACATCATAAATCCCTTTCAACATACGAATAGGATTGACATAAAGAAATCTTAAAAGATAAATCAGATCATTCATTTGCTATATGTTTGTCTGAAACATAAAAATGAATAATCGATTAGATCATTGTCACAAAAATAAACTTAAAGTTAAGATAACCAAAAATAGGAATAAGTTATGACATATTCAGCCAATAGTTGGCAAGCCCTAACTTGGAATCTTGAAGGGAAGCAGAAATGAGGAAGGCCAAAGAACACATTACATCGGGAAATAGAAGCAGATATGAAAGGATGAATAAAAACTGAAAGGATATGGAAAGTATTACCCATGACAGAGATAGAAGGAGAGTGCTGTTGGGCGGCCTATGCTCCTCCACGAGGAGTAACAGGTGTAAGTAAGTAATTCATTGAAAATTAGTTTACTATTACTTAACACTGATGCACAGTTAAACGATCAGTCAAATTTACAGCTCACTCCTTAACCTAACCTACACAAATAATTGAAATTGTAGGAAGCATTAATTCTGGCCAGAATATTCATTACATCACTTGGAAACATACTCACCCACTAGATCTCTTTCTCTCTCGCGCACGCACACACGCACACTCAAATTATTTCACTTGCTACCATACATAAACCGACATCAGCACCTGTAGCTGAAACCAAGTGATCCATTTGTGAAAATTATATTTAGTTCAGCACTAGCGAAAGTTAAGGATAGCTTTTCAAAGGAAGAACAACAGGATATTGTCTTTGAGATTAACTGTCATGGTTGTAGTGCAGCTTATATGAGATAAACTTCCAGACAAATGAATGTGAGGTTGAAAGAACACAAACAATATTTGAAAAGTGTTCCCAATTCCTCGGTTGATCTGAAGAAACTTGAGAATAGGTTGGTGGTTGCTAAAGCGGTAGCAAGAATAGTCAGATTTTATTAGAAAGGTTAAAATCTCTTCTGGAATGATAACCTGCTCGCATACTTTCTAACAATCCGATTTTCCGCATAACTTTTACCCTATAATTGTTTGTCATGTTTAGTTCGCTAAATTGCTACATGCCCGAAGGTCATATTCTGCTATTATACTAACAACTTTTGTACCAATTTCGTTTGAGTTGTTTGTTCTACCGCAAATATCAAGTTACCTGTAATTCCGTCTTCTTCCTGTCTTAGCCATCGACGTTTGATATGTTAAGTATAATTGACTGTTTTCAGTTCCGAAGAGAACCTATCGTATTAGAAAAGCTCAATCATTTTCGTTCCTAAATTCGTAACATCGTAGGCCGTACTGAACCCTAATAACAAGACACAACAGTGACAGCGTTACACGCGTTAGAAACAGAACACAAGATCAATTTCGAAAGGACCAAAATACTTCAGAAAGAGTTTGGTACATATAAAGAAAAACCGATAGCAGAAGTACTATATATATAGGCTAATAAGAACAGCCAAAACAGAAAAGATGATATTCAAGTATCTACCACATGACAAATGTTCATTAACAAGCAATTGGACGCTATCTCTATCCAACCTGTTTATTTCACATATATCATTATCCTAACAGAAATTAATTGGGATATTTCAGCACTACAATTATGCATTTGATGGTACTTATTCTACATATACATTGACGTTTCAAAAAAAAATTCTCCCTTTGTACTTAACACCTAATATCAACTATCAAATAACTCAATCATACACAGACACACAATCATTCATTCATTTATCTTCACATTGTGAACTATTCATATGGTTCGCTTATAACTAACTCTTGTTATCCTACTTACTAGAGTCAATAACTGAATATGATTGTGTAAGCACAGTAAAGATTAAATTTGATTACCAAAACATCATTGCTTTGATTTTGATGGTTACCCTGAAGAAGTTCAGACAAGTTTGTTGGACGAAACGGTACATTTATTTATATTTCAATCGATGAAATTATTTAAAATATAATTTTCACAAATAATATCTTCTCTATATTCAATGCCGAATTTCTGTCAAGTGATTCGTTTTAATATTGTACAATAGTCCTAGAAACAAATGATCCATTGACTCATCAACAACAAGCACTCATGAACACATTCACAATTCATATTTTCAATCAACAGACTCCATTACGTCAGTGATAAACAAACACATCGTATCCATTAGGAATCTCAGTAACAAACACATATATACACACACACAAAATAAAATACAATCATCATAGTTTGTCCAGTGAATGGAAAAAGGACGAAAAAAACTGTTCTCGTGATACCGTCACCTACGTCATAGTAATCAACATTTACAACACAGTAATCTAGCCTAATAGTAAAAATAACAATGATCTGTAGTGAACAATAACATTCTCAACAATTCTCTACACAAACCATAATAATCAAATCTAATTCATTATGTTCATTAGGTATTTGATAAACATGATACTAATCCACTAATCTTTCATTAAATCTCAAGTGAAAAACAATAACATGGATTCCAACAGAATACACATCACAAGAACACAGTCAATCGTGTGGTATTACATCGATTACATCAATAAACCAAATCTATGTATGATTTCACTTGTGCTTTTCTCTATTCTCAACTACCATTCCACATTTCACATTTCTCTTTATATCATGTAGTAAATTACAAAGTGAATTTGTTGATTGTACACTGATCAGCTTAGTTTGTCCGTTAACCAATCAGTTCCGTTAAATCAGTAATTATCTGTTGCTATCTCAGACATTTTGTAAATAGTAATTTTAATGGGATTCTTAGTACGTAGTATTAGTAATCATTATAATAAGAGCATCAAGATAATCAGAGTATTAAAACAAAAACTAAACTTACCACACATCAGTATCATTAGTCGAGGTCCTAAATCACGAGCTGGATTTAATGCAGCTCCAGCATTCAATGCAAAACATCCAACCAAAGCATAAACAAGAAATGCTAAATGTAGCGGGTGTAAATAATCTGGAAGTTTCCATCCATTACGATCAGTAATAGCTAGCGCTCCTGCTGCTAACAATGCAGTACCAAGAACTTGATCAAGGAAACATGTTAAATGTGATGCTCCAGGATTTGTTACAAATATACCACCTGTTGTCTTTACTATAAAACTTCCATTTTCACGAGTTACAGCATATTCATGAATTTTCTCATAATAAACACCATATATAACAAGAGAGCCAACAAAAGCTCCTAAAATTTGACTAATAGTATAAAGTGGTACACGTCTAAGTGGAAATTTTCCAATTAATGAAAATGCTAATGTAACAGCTGGATTAATATGTCCAGAACCACCACAACCAGAAAATATAACACCCATATAAACAGCAAATCCCCAACCCAAACTAATTGATAAAAATCCACCATGTGCTTGTTTACCATGATCACCTAAAAATGTTTGAGCTAATACACCAGTACCAAATATTAATAATATTGCAGTACCACAAAATTCCGCTAAACATGCTCTAAGAAATGGATATGTAGTTAAACGAATTTTATCAGCAATTAAATGTTGTTTACGTTCTAATCTACCTTCAAATGTATCAGTACGACCCATGAATAATGAAATTCTTTTAATAATATGAATATGTATCTATGGATTAGATTGTTTTCTAATGAAGAAAGTAGTGTAGTGTAGTTTGTTAAGTTAAAAGTGAATGCTTTTTTACAATTTATTTGTTATTATATTTAGAAAAGTGAAAAATACAAAAAAAACTGTTTAGCAGAGAAATTTGATTGGTTCTCATTTTTAACCAATCATATTGTTAATTCTATTCCCATTTTATGATGTGATGGCTAAATGATCATTTTTAAATTGACCAATCAGAATGTAAATTATAAGGTCATTCTATTTTTGAAAAAAATAAAATGGCGAATGGTTTAATGAATTCAATTTATATGTGGGATAAAATATGAGTATTTCTTTGTTGTTACTTACTTACTTACGCCTGTTACTCCTAATGAACAATGGAAAGACGACCAGCATTCTCCAACCCACTCTGTCCTAGACCTTATTTTCTAGTTCAATCCAATTCTTGTACATTTTTCTCATACCTATCTCCATTTCCCAGTGTAATGTTTTCTTTGGTCTTCCTCTTTACCTTTGTTTAGCCTTGAGGATTCCATGTGAGGGTTTGTCTTGTGATGCAGTTGGGTGCTTTCCTTAATGTGTAGCCTATCCACTTCCAAAGCTTCTCCCTTATTTCTTCCTCCGTTGGGATCTGGATTGTTATCTCCTGCAGTAGGTTGTTGCTGATAGTGTCTGGCCAACAGATCCGAAGTATTTTGTGTAGACAGTCGTTAATAAACACTTGTATCTTCTGGGTGATGGCTTTCGTAGTTCTCCGAGTTTTCGTCCCAAACAGTAAATCTGTGTTGACATTTGTATTGAAAATTCTGATTTCGATATTGATTGACAGACAGATGTTTTGAGTTCCAGATGTTCTTCAGTTATAAATATTCTCCTCTTGCTTTTCCGATCTTGATCTTTTTTCATATTCAAAAGTGTTTAAGCTCCTTAATTAATTATGATCTTTTCCATTTATGAAGTTATATTTATAATCAATTACTGTTTATTTAACTTCGCCTGTAACTCTGCCAGAATTACTGGCGTTTCCAAGCTCAGGTAAAGGAGGAAGGTCAAGCATGGGGTTCGCGATCTCATCCCGTAGAAAACTAACTAGCTAAAAAGAAAAACGCTAACAACACTGTTTACTTAGCAAGTAACCCATTAAGTTATTTCTGAAATTTAAAGGATATTTGAATCTAGCTATTCGAGATTTTATTTAGAAGTGAATCGAATTATATTTGTATCTTTGGAGTTATTGTAGTATAGAATTATTTACTTTTGAACTGAACATTATACGGTAATATGTTTCCTATTTTACTACTGTTTATAGATCACAATGAGAACAATGAGCCCCCAAATGCCCTGGTGCGGCCGAGAGTTGGAAGAGTCTGCACTCCCTCTCTAAATGCTATCACATGGCCACGTGTATATAGCCTCTGCCAGGGAAGTCCTACTCATCGCCTTCTCGTGGCGAGGGTGTTGTTTACGAAAGTGAGAGGAAGAAAAGCAAATGTCCGATAGGAGCTTTACCCGGGTTGGTGGAGACGGAGAGTCCACCTAGGGGAGTTGGAAAACCCTCATTCCAAACCAATGGTGCACATGGGATCCAGGATCATGAGGGAACAAATGGCGTATGAAACAATCGTTGGTCACCGGATAACATGGAACTGCATCTCCTTACGTTGCCCCACTTCCTTGTGAATCAGACCTTTAGGTCGGAGGTTCCGGGTGTGGCCTCCTAAGAAAACCACCTGCTTCGGTTTGGGCACTCAGGCAGTATCACAGCCCTCACATATCAAATGAAATCCTTGTGGCGCATATGTATTTGGTGCCTCCTTGAAATGAAAACTTAAAAGGTTTAAGTTATGAGTCTAATCACTATAGTATAATTGGTATGAATCTCGACTGCCAACTATCCAAATTCCTCTCAGTTACCAGTCATGTATATCAAAGGTCTCGTAAAAATAGAAATAGATTGTCAGAAAACTAAGGACACCCGAACCATGAAGTCATGGACTGTTAAATTAAGACACGGTAACGGCGATCAATGGTCAGGCATGTTGGTTGACACGGTTTATAGTCAGTCACAGTAGAGTAATTACATCCAATCTGTCTCTTCTCCTAGACAGACCCATCAAGTTCGAGGAGTCCTTCAAGTGGATAACGTCTGTCAGCTACCGGTAATACTTATGTTGATCGTGATTCATTTATTGATTCGTTGTTGATTGACCAAGTCACACTATAAACAACTCTATGAAAATATGCTAGTTCATATCATACAAAACCATGTAACGGAGTGTTTCGTTAGTAAAAGAAAAATACCAAGCTAAGATTTGATTCAAAAAAGGAAAGGGAATTTATTATTAAGGTTTTAAAACAGTACGAAAAATGGACGATTTATACGATGCGTTGTCAGACTAGAAAATAATCTGACAGAATCATTATCAGTATCATGAATGGATCAATGTTGGACTACCATTGAAAACCTGGAAGCACTGGAATGCCATTTCGTTCTAGTATAGGACTCCTCAGCAGTGCGCGTCCACGATCCCTCATGCGGACCAGAATCAGGACCGTCGGGATTGTGTGCGGGTGATTAAACTCTAGACGATTGAGCCGGTATCAAAAGGTGTTAATGTTTAACTTCAACCAATCCACAAAATTTCGCGACTGTCCACCATTGTCTTCATTGAGTAACTGCGTCAACAGAGACAGTTGAACTCCATTAGTCACAACTTCTCACTAGAACATCTAGAAATCCAACTTAAAGCTAGTCACTAGTGAACATGATATCAATCTAAACTTAACAATCTCTACAACCTTATACTGAAAATCATTATTTTCACACTAGAATAAAGTAATAACTATTGTCTTCAATGATTCTCTAGGAGATGGACTGTTCTAGAGATTAAAATCCATCCCTACAAATAACAGTTAATATCATGACAGGTTAGAATTATAATCTCCATATCTTCGGTTTATTTAGCAAATAGTTGTGAGATTACCATACAATTGTTCGTATTACATCATCTTTTAAACTTGTTAATTGGAAATAGTGGTCTTTACACTCATGATTATTAAAATATTTTAACCTGTGAGTATATAGAACAATCAATATCTCAAATTACAAATATCATGATTATTATGAGGGAACTAATATCCACAAACTGCATATAGTAATGATAATCATATGCTCATGAATGAAGTTGTAAGAAGTAGTTCTCAGAGTTCTGGCAACAAATCATAATCACAGGAGTTCAATTATATCCGGTTTGATGTATTTCTTCACAAATGGGATTCGAAGATGTTTGAACAATATTGTAAATGATTAAAGTTTAAAATGTCAAACAATAGGATATTGGCTTAATGGATATAAGGTTAATTTTTCGTTTTGAGACATGAATATCCTAAGTTGGATAGCCAATAAGATCGTAAACGGACACTTCTGAGTAGTTCTACATCAAGACGAAATATCTTCATCTCCAGTGCTTTCTAGTTTTAAGATATTCAGAGTTATGTAGGGAAATTGTATGCTATGTCAATTAGAAGTATTCGAAATAATGTGCTAATTAAGAATTTTTGAAATAGGATAATATAAGAGAGGTAGAACTAGATGAGCACAGCTGGACGTATTATAATTGTAATTCATAATAAATGTGTCATCAAATACAAAGGAATGATCAATCGGTACAAATATCACAACCTCTACAACTTAAATGGGAATCCAGATTACTGCATTCCATTGTATATTGTGGAAGATTAGTCCCTCGATAGTTTGTAACACCAGCAGACTGTAAAACATTTGATATTTGGATGCATATTTTTCTGTTTAGGCAATTTCATTATAGTTTCTTCCGAGTACGGTTAGGCAGTTCTGCACTGAAAGACGTTATCTACCCTTTTTTCGGGTCTTTGAATTTTGAAGTTGTAATAGAATTGATTGTTGTTTCCAAGGTCTTAAAATTCTCTGCTTGAGCATCAAAATGCGAAAACTTTGAAGTTGTGCTTAAATCTTCTCACTTCGATTCTGTAGTTAACAAGTGATGAACCATTTTACTAGGACCGTCTTCAGTGACCAATAAGGAAAACTGTCCTTGAAACACTCTTAAACTTTCTTGACTCAGGATAGATAGTCTACGACTGATGTTGAGGAATTCACAATCTATAATTAAAAATTTATCGTCTCTAGTCAACAAATTACAACACCCAAGACTAGGAAGTTTATAACTTGTAATATTCAAAATATAAACATTGGAGGGTTTAATTATAGAATTGGGATTTGATGACTCCAGCTTCCCAATTGAAATGATGCATATGATACTACCAGTGTGAACAATAGAACCGTGTAAAGCACCACTGGAAAAATATAATCACTTTCGAATATTAAACGAATTACTGGTAGTTGTGAATAAGGTTAGTTTATGATTATGAGAATCACTCAAATCGATAAGATCCAAATTACAGAGTTTAGTATTACAAGCGGTGAAACGAACAGTAGTTTTACAAACCGGTTTGATGTTTCCCATTTAGCTACAATTGAAGCACATAGTACGATGAAATAAACATGAATTATGTGAATGAACTTTACTATAAGACAAACACTGGCCGAAATTGTGCTCACCTTCATTTACTGTTTCATTATTGTTGAATGATTGTCTTCACGAGAACGGGGATAATCTTTAATTAAACACTTACTCCAATGACTTTGAGTACGAGTCGGATTAAAACAACTAAGTAATATAATGGAATACTTTATGTCCTGAAAATCAACTTCATCCACTGCTTCATAATAAATACGTGCAATTCTATAGTCTAGGAAGGAACACTTTGGCATTCGTACAAACCTTCTTCATGAGATTTTATATGTTAATTCCTTATATAAATTCTTCACGTAACTGGAAATCAAACTGATCAACAAAATCACACTTAACGGCTTGTTTCTGCGATTCAAGGATAAATTCTCTAACATTCTGGTTATTCTGACGAATCATTTTACGAAATTTTCTAGTTTCACGGCATTCGAAGGTTATACACATTACATAGTTTAGTTGTTGTTTTTTAGGAGTTGCATAATATGGTGGAAAAGGTTT